AACAACAACAACATGATTATGAAGAATAATAAGAAAAAAAAAGAATAATAGGAGCTGCATCACTGGATTTGGTAAATTTGACATTTCTTTCCTGTCCTGACTCTAGGAATCTAAGACATAAGGATAGCTTTGTGGCCCTAAACAAAAACACAACATTCTCCCTGGTTGTGGCAGCCAGCCTCTAGGACAGAGTCCAATGATCGTGGCCCACATTCTTGTGTGGTTCTCTCCCACAATGAATACAGCTGACCTGAGACACCAAAAGGACATTGCAGAAATGGTGTACAACTCCACCAGTTAGGTCACAAAAGACTCGGCAACTTCCACCTTGCTCTCCCTCGGATCACTGGCTCTCTCTTGGATATCTCTGTGGAAGCAGCCCTATGGGGAGATTATGGTGAGGAACTGAGGCTTCTTGCCAACTCTGTAACTGAGCCACCCTGGGAGCGGATCCTCTAGGGATAAACACGCCTTCAGATGTCTGTACTCATGGTCAGCATCTGGCCCACACCAGCTAGCTAAGCTGCTCTTCAATTCCTGGTGTACAGAAACTGTGAAATATTCATATTTGCTGTTAGAAATAAGTGAAGGAATTTCCAAGAGATGAGAATAAACAGGAAGCTCAAGCCAGATCAGAGAGGGCTTCCAGGATTAGAGGTTTAAATGGTACACCACAGTGAGCCCTTAGTAAAACTGGCTAGGGAAGGAGGGCATCATTAACTACTTATTATTATTATTATTATTATTATTATTATTATTATTATTCTAGTTTATTTACAAAATTCAAATACTGTTTTCCAGGACAGATTCTTCCAATTTCCCTCACCCCCCCCATCAAATTGTACAACCCCATCATTAATCCGCCCTTCCCCCTGCACATCCCCATCCCTCTGCATCCACCCCCCTCCCCAATCATTCTATAATAAGGGTTTTGTATAATATTTGTCCTTGGGGGACTGAGTCAGTTCGCTCAGCATAATGCTCTCCCATCAGAGGGCATCATTATTGAAGTGAGCAGGGCTCATGCTAATCAGAGCAATTTCCTTCTTCCCAGTTTTATTTGTTTTTACTTCTTGTGTCATTTGAAGAAAGGACCTGTTCTTTATAAATGTTTGAAAGAACCACGGAAAGCAAGCAGGGGACACAATGTATACTTTAGATAATTATTAGAATAATTCAGTCAGCAGGGAAGCTACAGTAGCCTGGTGGTAAGGAGCTGCACTGCCAACCAAAAGGCATGTGGTTCAAATCTACCAGCTGCTCCAAGGGAGAAAGATGAGCAATCTCCTCCTGTGTGATTTACTGCTCTGGAAACATGCTAAAAGGTCAGCTATGGGTCAGTTCTAACTCAAAAGCACATAACAACGGTCAGTAGAAGGTACAGTGAAGGCAGAGTTAACAGTGCTGACGGAGTGACCGGAGGGGCACAGGGAATGGGACATGCAATGGGTAACTCACACAAGAGGAGGAGTGACTTCCAGATTTCTGCTTGGGCCACCACCTGGAATGAATGATGGTATCATTCATCAGGCTGCTGCTATGTGCTGTCAAACTGACCCCGACTCACTCTGGGAGAGTAGAACTGCTCCACAGGGTTTCCTAAGCTAAACTTTGTATAGGAACAGATTGGCAGGTCTTGTCTCACAGAGCAGCTGGTAGGTTTGAACTGCCAGCTTCTTGGCCAGCATCCCAGCATTCAGTCATTGCATGTCCTTATCATTCATCATGCTCACTGCTATCAAGTTCATTCTGATTCACGGAAATACTCTATCAAGTTGCCAAGATTATAAATCTTAACAGAAGCAGACTATCTCATCTTTCTCCCATGGAGCGACTAGTGCATTCAAACCACAGACAACTCATTACACCGCCAGGGTTCCTTCTTATCATTTGTCATCAACTCAATACAACTCATTGCTGTCAGGTTGGAACTGGCTCCTAGCTGACTCTTCAGTGTGTTTTCAAAGGGTGTGAATTGCAGAGGCGAAGACTGCCCTTCTTTCTCCCATGGAGCCTCTGGATCGGAGCCACTTGCCTTTGGGTTGGCAGTGCAACTCCCTACCAACTAGGCCACCATAGCTCACTTACCATTTGTTACAGGAAGAGGAAAAGCAAGGAATTGTGTTTAGCTGATAGTAAGAGGCTCAAGAGGCCTTTTGTTTATAGGGTAGCTATGAGTTGTGCTCGACTCAAAGGCAATCAACAACAACAGCAACAAGAAGAGACTCAACTACAGCAGTTCAAACACAAGATGTTCTCTCATGTATAAGAAATCCTGAGTATAATGGAGTATTTTATATTTTCTGGTGGGCCTTTCTTCATGAATTTACTGGGAAGGGTGGAGGGTTGGTGAAGGAAAGGAAGACCCTCAACAGGTAAATCGACACAGTGACTGCTGCAATGGGCTTTTGGGTGTCATGAAATGTGAGGATGGCACAGGACAGGACAGGGTTCAGATCTGTTCATAGAGTTGCTATATGTCTTACTCGACTCAACAGCACTTAATAACAACAAAAACAGTGGTGTAGTTTGTAGAAAGCTGAACTTCTAACCTAAAGGCTGAAGATCTACCAGCTGCTCAAAGGGAGGAAAATGGGCAATTTCCTGTGTGATTTAAAGCCTCAAAAACACAATGGAGGGTCAGCTATGAGTTGGTTCCAATTACAACAATGAAAACCACAGTTTGGTTTCTTAAATAAACTAGCCAGCTATCAGTCTGTAGCTTTCCCTGGTTCAACCCTAGCATATAAACTCTAGAACAACAACAAAATCCAAGTCCACTGCTAAGCTTGTCTACTTCAACACTTTGCTCTGTCCTCACTAGAGCCTCCCTGTGAAGTAACCTGTGTTTCAGCTGCAAAGAAGTGTACAGTCTTCCCAAGCTCTCCATGCTTGGCATTTCTAATGCTTCCATATTTGATCTACCTGGAATTCTCCTAATCTCCTCCAACTACTTGAAATCCTAGTTCCAAGGCCCAAACAAGCCCACCTCCTTCTGAAGTCTTTCCTGCTCTCCATGTAGACAGAATGGCCCACTCTCACCTGTTTTCCCATAGTCTTTTATTCATAATCCCAGTAGCCTATCACATTAAGTAGCCTTTTCTTTCATTAGGCTGCACACTCTTTAACAGTTACGACAAATATTAAAGAATTAGGTCTAACTGGATGATGTGTTCAGCACTATATGGTTTATAATTAATGATACCAAACAAAATATATATGAACAGTTGAATGGAAAACCAATTTGCTTTGTACATTTTCACCTAAATCACTTTTTTAAAAAAATACCAGTGTACTTACAAAGTTCATATAGATTGTTTTTCACAGAAGACCTTTCCCTTTTCCTTTAAAATCACATTTTTTTAAAAAAGAAAGCAAAATCCATCCATTAAAAGTGTTCAAAAGCTTAAAAAAATTCACAGAACACACCAAACAGAAATCCCATATGGGGATATATTGTCCTCAGAACTAGATCTCAAAACAACAGTGTCAACTCTTACCTCCGGAGATAGACGGTTTCCTCATCTTCTGTATTACAAAACTTGTGAGCATGTTTGGCAGCATCAATGACACGAGATCTATCCCGGGGCCTCATGGGTAACTTCTCTAACTGACAGTCTGAAAGAATGGAGAAAGATTTGGACACTAGTTGTGGTTGTTTTAGAGGCTATAAACTGCATGGGAAGAGACTGCCCATCCTTCTCCCTTGGAGTAGCTGGTGGATTCGAACTGTATGCCTTTGGGTTGGCAGCACAATGCCTTACCACAAGGCCACCAGAGTTCCCTCTGGTCACTAAAGACACTGGAAAATACCCTGGGGCAATCAGAAGCTTCCATCAGGGACCTTGCTATGTTAATTTTTAAAAAACCGTACTTGCTATTTTACTCAAAGCTCAGCATTGATTTTCCCAATTCAAAATGAAGTGGTGTCAGGAGATCTGGATTTTGGTTCCAACTCTGTTAGTGCCCTTGTAATCCTTGACAAATCATTATCTCTTTCTTAATCTCTCCCCTCATTTGAAAGATTTGTGAGTTGCTGTTGAATTGATTCTCTTAGTAACTCAGAGTAGAACTGTCCCAGAAAGTTTTCAAGGGTGTAATCTTTCAAAAGAGAATTGTCAGGCTAATCTTCCAAGGCATCTCTGGGTGGATTCAAATCATCATTTTTTTAACTGTTTATGCCACCCAGGGACTTCTATTTGAAAGCCCTTCTTCCCAGCACTGCAATTCAAATTTTCTATGATTGCTTCTGTGACTATCGTACACTTTATGTTATAACACACCCATGGCAGAGGCAAGCAAGCATTCTGGAATGTTTGTAAAGAAAACATTGGGAAAGATGAAGTGCTAACAAGCAAGAGGGCGAGTCAGAATCAATACCCAGAGCAGGAAAGTTATCTACCTCAGATGGAACTTGAATCTGAAAACATACAGGAAACAAATAGTTATAAGGCAGATGGAAAATTGATGTGATGCAAATTAAGTACCCTAAAAGGTCATGGCCAAAGTCAAGTGATCAGAATGATTTATTTAGGTTCAAGGTAGACGGAGAACACTAGATAATTCACAAGTTAACTCATTTATTCTTCATAGCAATCTGCTTATTTTATTTATTCCTATTTTAAAGACGAGGGAACAGATGCTTTGAAAGGATAAGAGATTTACCAGGAATCTAGTAAGAAGTAGGACAAGAATTCAGATCCAGCTGCCAATAATTCAAAGCTCATGCTCTTTCCACCACACCTCCTTGATGTTCATTAATTTATGTCATAAACACGTGAGGGTCACCTATGTGCCAAGTACTATTTTAATACTGTATAAGCAAACAGTAAACAAAGTCTGTGTATTGATGAAGGGTACCTTATTGTCAAAGCAATGGACTTTACAAATACTTTTTTTTTTATCAAGTTGTTGTTGTTATGTGCCATCAAGTCACCTGTGACTCATAACAATACTTTAAAAAAAAAGACATAAATGTATGATTTCTGATAGTGTCAAGTGCTAACGAAAAATTCAGGTAGAGTCAGAAGGTAAACAATGATCTCATAAATAAGTGCTACCAAGAAAAAGTAGGCAAGTTAAAAAGGTAAAGACAATAGGGACGCTGTTTTAAATAAGGTAGGCAGGGAAGAGTGCTCTGAGAGAGTGTCATTTAAGCAGAGACTGGAATGAAGTGAGAAGCACTGAGGAATACAAAATATCTGAAGCAGGAACATTTTCTTTTTTTATGGTGGAGAAAAGCCAAGAAGGCCTTTGTGGCTGAAATACAGTGAGTAGGAAGAGTAGTTGAAGTCTGAGAGGCAGTGAGGGGCCTGATTATGCAAGGAGGGAACCGGTCCTTGGAGAAGAGTGGAAGGACAGCACAGGAGAGGAAGACCCTCAATGAGATGGACTGATTCAGTGACTGAGGTAATGGAGGTAGGTGTGTCAGAGACAATAAGATTGGCACAGGATAGAGCAGGTTTAGGGCTGTTGTACATAGGGGTGCTATGAGTCACAGGCACATAACATCTATAGACTCTGGTTTTATTCTAGATATTATAAGACCCTGACAGTAAAAAAAAAAAAATCAAAGATACTGGCAAAATCTACTGTCAAGGACACTTTCTCATAGCTCTAAGGAGTAATGAGAAGATAGAAAGAGTACACAGAAGTCATTGTACCAAAAGGAATTGGTATACACAGAAGAATTTCATGAAACAATGTATGAGCAAGAGCCTATGGTGATGAAGGAGGAGTTCAAGCTGCTCTGAAAGAACTGGCAAAAAAACAAGGCCCCAGGAATTGCTGGCACACTAATTGACATATTTCAACACAGGTGCTGCCCAGGATATGCTCACCAAGTTGTGCCAAAAAATCTGAAGGACACAATCCCAGAGGTTCGCAGTTCGAATTCCCCAGATGCTCTGCTGGAGAAGGAGGGACAATCTCCTCCTGTACCAGTCAGGTCTGATTTGATAGTACACACAAAAAAAATAATAATGAATTTTTTTAAAAAATTTAGGGGACAACCACCTGGCCAACTGACTGGAAGAGATCTATATTTGTTCCCATTCCAAAGAAAGGTGATCCCACAGAGTGTGGAAATTATCGAAAAGTATTGTTGATATCACATGCAAGCAAGATTCTGCTAAAGACCCTCTCCTCTCCTCCCCACTCCTCCCCTCCCCTGGACAATGACTAGGGAAAGAGAGTTGATGCCTTTGAGCTTTGGTGCTGGAGAACAGTATTGAACATACCATGGACTGCTAACAGAACAAACAAGTTCGCCCTGGAGAGGGTGAAGCCAGGCTGCTCCTTGGAGGCAAAGATTCTGAAGCTTTGTCTGACATACTTTGAACATGTTGCAAGGCAGGATCAGTCCTTGGAGAGGGACACCATACTTGGGAGTGTGGAAGGACAGCACAGGAGCAGAAGACCCTCGATGAAATGGATCGATTCTCCATCACTGGGTTAATGGGGATAGGTGTGTCGGAGACAATAAGATTGGCAAGGGATAGAGCAGGGTTTAGGGCGATCATACATAGGGTCGCTACAACAACAAGTAATGACATCAGTTTAAAGACTAAGGTGTGCTTGATTCAATCCATGGTCTTTTCATTTACTTGTTCTGTATGTTAAAGTTGGACAGTGCATAAAGATAGAAGAAAATTCAATGCCACTGATTTGTGGTGTTTAAACTTCTTTAAACCTTGAACTGAAAATCTCCCCATGATCACCTTTTAACAGAAAAATAGAGCAGTATACAAAACAAAATGTATTACCAACAAGGATGGTACACTTCCTATGTGGGACCAAAAAAGGCAACATTTACTTTCAAGAGGAAAAGACTAAAGAACTGGAAACAAAATAACCAGAACACAATGAAACATTGTAGAAACAGACTGATACATTGTAGAAACAGAACTGTTGCAGAAACAATGTATACAGAAATTATCAAATGGAAACCTAAATTAGTTTGTAAAGTTCCATCCAAAACACAGTAAATTGTTATTATAAAAAAATATTCTGTCCCACCAAAAAAATACCCCTATGTTCTAGAAAATAATTTGTTCTGAAAAAGAACATAACTATGGCTTTTGTGCAGAAAACAGACTAGGAGAGACAAGAACGGAGAAAGGGAGAGTAAAAGAATTGTGCTAATCCAGGTGAGAGATCATAGTGGCTTGGATCAGAATGGTAGAAATGGAGGTGGCCCTAAGTGGTCAGAATGGACAGATTTTTGATGAAGCATAAAAAATAATAAAATAAAAAATAATTCCAGGGGTTTTGATCTGAGCTACCTATGCATTGTGGTACCTCTCACTGCAATAGGGAAGGCTATGAAAAGAGTTAAGTAGAGGGACAGGGATCACTGATTTCATTTAGAGTGGATCTATGTGCGAGGATTTGGTGGTGGCCTAATGGTAAGAAGCTGCATTGCAATCCAAAGACAGGCGGTTTGAATCCACCAGCTGCTTCACAGGGCAGGACAAAGATGGGCAATCTCCTCCCATGCAATTAACTGATTCTGAAAACCCGCTGGAGGGTCACTGTGCAATCCCCTCCTGTGTGAGTAACTGCCTCCAAAAATCCGCTGGAGGATCTGATGGGCAGTCTCCTCCAATAGGATTAACTGCCTCTGAAAATTTGCTGCAAGGTCAGCCATGGGTCAGTTCTGACTCCATGGCACACAGCAGCAACAACAACAACGTGTGAGAGGCTTCTTTAACATTCCACTGCAGATATTAGGTCCAGGCTTAAAATGAAAACCTGGGAGTCATCTATACGTGGTGTTGTTAGGTGCCGCCAAGTCGCCTACAGCTCATAACAACCCCATGAATGACAGATCTGAGAATTGCCCCATCCTTGTCATCTTTGATATACTTGAGCTCATTGTTACAGTCACCATGTCAATTCATTTAGTTGAGGGTCTTCCTCTCTTTCACGGACCCTCGCCCTTTCCAAGTACGATGTCTTTTTCCAAGGACTAGCCTCCTCCTAACAAAAATGCCCAAAGTGTGTGAGAGCAAGGTTCGCCCTCTTTGCCTTTAAGGAAAACCTGGTAGCACTTTCTTCAATATAGGTGGTATTTAATGCTTGGGATTTGTTGAGAGGACTTAAGTAAACCAGAGAATCGAGAATACAGGTGCCTAAAATGTAAGACAAAGGAAGCAGACACTGAGAAGGGGCAAAATTTGAGGTAGAAGTTAAAATGAGGACACTGTGGAGACTTGGAAAATAACGAGTATGTTTCAAGAAATACGGAGGCGGGGGGGGGGGGGGGGCGGGCAGAAATATGGAGTGATTAACCCTTCAAATACTACCGAGAAGGGATCATAAGAAGCCTGACAACTGGCCAGTGGAACTGGCAACGTGGAGTTCTGTGTGACATGTATGGGCACCCTCTGTGGTGACAAGAATGGTCTAGATGATGAGGTCTGAGTGGGACTAAGATGGCACGGGAAGTGAGGACGTAGAAGACAGCAATAAAGAAGAAATCTTTTTCGTTTTGCTAGAAAAGAAGTAAAGAAATGAGGCTCTATCTAGAGAGACATGTTGGACTAGGGAAGAGCTATGGTCTTTTTAAATTCCCTTGATTGTGGTTCTGAAGAGCGTGGAAGGAGCCGGGGAGGGATACAGGATAATTTTTACAGAAACAGTGAGTCCTGTTTTGAGAGAAGGGAGATCTGGATGTTGTACATGTTGTTGTTGTTATGTGCCGTCGAGTCGCCTGCGACCCTATATCCGCAGCTCTAGAGCCCGCTCTGTCCAGAGCCAGTCTCACCGACTCTGACATGACACACGTACCCACATTGCCCTGGTTACAGTATCAGTTCATCTCATCCAGGGTCTAGAGACTCACAAAGTTAAAGAGCACAGATGCTCTGACGTCAAGGGAGGACGAGCGCGGCGGGTTCTGGCGAAAGCGAAACTTCATCGCGCTTTTCTGTACGACTCGGGAGTCAGAGGAAACCGAAGTTGCGCTCCTTCGCGGCTACTTACCGAGCACCAGGACCATCTGGCCGCACAGACAGTAGTAGACGTGGAGGGGCTTCTCGCCATCGTCATACTCCTCTCTGTCCCGGGTGTCGGAGCAGACTACCGACCGCGACACCACTTTTGGCATAATTCGCGGAAGCTGGGGAGAAAGCAACAGCAAGGATGGTGGGCGCACAAAAATGACGTCACGGGGGCGCGCTGAGAGTTGCCCTTTGGGCTCTCTTAGTCACGTGTCAGTCTTGGCTTTAAGGTCTCATTAGATTAAAATGCAAGGGTGTTCCGCTAAGTTGCTCTGAGGACTCTCCTTTGCCTTCACTTGAATACTCAGGGACTGCTTTGTTAGAAGCATCCTTTAAAAAAAAAAAAAAAAGAAGCATCCTTTATAGTATTTATATATATAGTGTATGTGTGTGTGTAAATATATATATAAATACATTGTGTATATATATAAATAATTTATACACACAAACACACATTTTATATATATGTATATGTATATGATGTATATGTATATGTATATGTATGTATCCACAATCAACACTCTTGCCACCAGCAGCCAGGAAATTAAAAGATGTATTGCATTGGGAAAGTCTGCTGTCAGAGACCTCTCCAAAGTACTGAAGAGCAACAACATCAGTCTGGAGACTAAGGTCCTCTTGATACAGGCCATGGTCTTTGCAATCACTTGTTATGCATCAGAGAGCTGGACAATGACTAGGAAGGATAGAAGGAGAGTGAGTGCCTTTGAGCTGTGGTGCTGGAGAAGAGTATTGAATATACCATGGACTGCTAAGAGAACAAACAGTTTCGTCTTTAAGAGGGTGAAACCAGGCTGTTCCTTGGAAGCAAGGATTCTGAAGCTTCATCTGACATACTTTGGACATGTTGTAAGGAAGGACCAGTCCTTGGAGAGGGATGTCATGCTTGGGAGGGTGGAGGGCAGGCGCAGGAAAGAGGAAGACCCTCGACAAGATTGATTCAGTGACTGGGGTAATGAGGGTAGGTGTGTTGGAGACAGTGCGATTGGCACAGCACAGATCAGAGTGTAGGGCTGTTGTACATAGGGCCGCTATGAGTCGCAGGAGACTTGATGGGGCATAACAACAACAAATAATATAGATACATAGTGTTACAGGTATACAAGGGACTTATGTTACATTTTATGTGCATACTCAAACCTTAGGTGTGTGTTCTGATTTTTACTTTAAAGGCTGTCTTCAGGATGAGTGCATAATGACATAAGATAGCTGGGGTTTTAAAATATGAGTTATGATTCACCTAACATAGACTTTACTTTTGTAAATGCATTGGTTTTTAGTATGTTCACAAAACTAAGCAACTATTACCACTAATTCCAGAATAGTTTCATCATTCCAAAAGAAATTCTCTACCCATTAGCAATCACTCCTAATTCCTCATTCTTTCCAGCAGCAAATCTACAGTCTCTATAGATTTGCCTACTATGGACATTTTCTATATAGAATCATATAACATGTGGTCTTTTGTGAATGGCTACTTTTCACACAGCATGACATTTTCAAGGTTCTTTAATGTACCATGTATCAGTACTTACTCATTTTTGTGTCTGAATTAATGTTCCATTGGATGGACTTACCACGATTTGTTTATCCGTTGATCTGTTGGTGAGTATTATTACTACTTTTTTATTTCATAAAAATACTGCTATGACCATTCATTTACAAAGTTTTGTGAGGACATTTCTTGTCCAGTCTTTTTTATATAAACCTAAGACTAGAATTTCTGGGTCATAGGGTAACACTGTTTAATCTTTTGAGAAATTGCTATTTTCCAAAGAGCTTCACCATTTTACAGTCCACCTATAGTTTATCCCTATCAACACTTTTCATTCCTTTCTTTTTATTCTAGCTATTGTATTGGATATGTAATAGTATTTAATATTTATTTTTATTTACATCAAGGAAAGTGACTGAGAATGAAGAATAATGTTGAACATCTTTTCACATACTTATTGGCCATTTGTCTATCTTCTTTGGAAGAATTGTCTACTCAGATCCATTGCCTATTTTAAATTGAGTTATGTGTCCTTTTTATTGAGTTGTGAAAGGTTTTTAAAATTTTTAATACTAGATAGATTGGTATTTCTTAAGCTGAAATAACTAAAGCGTGAAATCAAGCCTCGAGTTGCAATACTCAAGGATGTGATGGGCAGAATATTGAATGATCTAGAAAGCATTACAAGAGGATGAAACGAGTATATAGACTCAGTGTATCAAAAAGAACTGGCTGGGGGTGGGTTGGGAGGGGAGAAAAGTGGAAATCCAAAGTCTTTGTAAATTTTCATTAAAATTAATAATAATAAAAATTTAAAAAAAATTGGCTACGGGAGCTCTGGTGGCAAGGAACTGCCATGCAATCCCAGAGGTGTGTGGTTCACATCCACCAGATGCTCTGCTGGAGAAGACAGGGCAATCTACTCCTGTACCAGTGGATCTGGCTCAACAGTACACAAGAAAAAACAAACAGAATTGGCTGACACAGAAGAATTTCCAGAAACAACATGTGATCAAGAGGCAACGGTGATGAAGGAGGAAGTGAAGGCTACTCTGAAGGACTTGGCAAAAAATAAAGCCCCAGAAATACTAATTGATTATTTCAACAAACAAGATCCATACAGGGCTAATTGCTGTTGAGCTGAGTATTACTCACATCAACTCTATGAAGAACCGATCTGAACACTGTTCTATCCAGTGTCATCCTCATAAGCTCTCATATACTCAAGGAATAACCACGTCTAGCAACATGCCCAAAGTATGTGAGATGAAGCTTCATCGTATTTGCTTCCAAGGAGCACTCTGTCTGCACCTTCTCCAAAACATATTTCTTTATTCTTCTGGCCATTCATAGGATGTTCAGCACTCTTCTCCAGCACCAATTCACCTGTCATCTTTAGTCATTATGCAGCTGTCAAATGCATAACAAGTGACTGAAAGAAAATATTATGGCTTGAGTCAGGCACACCTTAATACTAGAACTGGCATCATTGCTACTTAGTAATTTGTAGAAGTCCTTGATTACAGACATTCCCAATGCAATATGTCTCCTGGTCTCCTGATTGCTGGTACCAAGTGTATTGACTGTGGATCCAAGTAAGATGAAGTCATTGACAGTCCTTTCTCTGTTCGTCATGATGGGCCTATTCATCCCATGGTAAGGATTTTTGTTTTCTTGACATTGAGATGCAATCCGTACTGAAGACTACAGAGTTCAACCTTCCGCAGCACGTGCTTCAGGTCTTCCTCACTTTCAGCAAACAAGGTTGTGTTATCTCTATAATAAAGGTTATTGATGGGTTTTCCTGCAAAAAAAAAAAATCCATACAAGGCATTTATGTTCTTGCATTTTGATATTAGAATATCACTCTTAAAAAGAACCTTGACATTCTAGTTGGAAAGGACCCATATATACTGTGCAAGGGACATCTTCAGTGCTTGGTGAACACTGACTGACATTCTCTCATGCAATGACCACTGACTAAGGTGTTAATCTACCATGCTGCCCTGTGCTCATGCTGTGGACAAAACCCTGAGTCAGACTAGGTCCTGTGAAGAACAGTGAGGAAGCGTAGCGGGAAGAGGGATGGATTAGGGGCAGGGGAGAGGCAGAGGAGGATGGTCAGAGCTTGCCTCTCTGAAAAGCTGACTCCTGACTCCTAATGACAAGACGGAACTAGTCAAGTACAAGTCTGGCTCAAACTCAAGCTCATTGCTGTCAAGTGAGAACCGACTCGGCGCTGACCCTCCAGCGGGGTTTTTGAGGCTGTAAATTGCCTGTCCATTTTTTCTCTCTCGCAGCCACTGGTGAATTTGAACCTCTGGAGAGCCTTAGGGTTAGCAGGGCAACTCCCTGCAGACTATGCCCCCCAGGGCTTCCTGAAGATCTGGAGGAAAGATTAAAGTTCAACCTAAAGCCACTGTCATCAAGTTGCCGCAACACTACTAAGTACCCTCTATCAAGTTTATAAGGCTGTAATCTTTATGAGGGGAGATTGCCCGTCTAGCTCCCACCACACAACTGGTGGAATCTAACTGCTGACTTTTTTTTTTAAACAGGTCAGCATGTTACACAGCAAGCCACCAAGAGTCCTTCCTAAAGATAAACCAACCAGTCAAACAAACAAAAACCTCTCTGGTGGCACAGTTAAAGAATTTGGCAGCCAAAAGATCAGCAGTTTGAATCCTCTAAGTTACTCTGGAGGGCAAACATGAGACTGGCCCTGTGAAGGCTAACAACCTTGGAATCTCTATGGACAGTTCTACTCTGCCCTACATGGTCACTATAATCCCACAAGATGGCACAGGTATGGTCAGACCACACTCACCAGTATGGGAATAAGCTTAGCATACTTAAGAATGAAAAACTGTGGCCTGGTAAATCCTTCAGCACTTTAAAAGACTGAGATGGATTAGGGTCTTTTTTTTTTTTTTTTTTTGGATTAGGGTCTTGACTTTGACTCTGGGAAAATACAAAGTCTCAGTTGGCTAGGTGGTGGTTAGATGCCATCAAGCTGGAAACCTTCACACACACACACACACACACACACTCACTCACTCACTCACTCACTCACTCACTCACTCTAATAGAGCATAAAGCTCAAGGTAGATTTTTTAAAATAAATAAATAAAACCAGGTAAGGCAAGCAAACTATTGTTTGGTTTTAAGAGGATACTTTTAGTTCAAGGTTTAAGAGTATCCCAGAGCACTAGTTTTAGGGATTCATCCACCCACTATGGTTGCAGAAAGTCCATGAGAATTTAAAATTCTCTTCTTCATTTTTCCCTTTTGATCAAAGATTCCTCCATGGAATCTTTGATCAAAAGTTTTCAGTTATAGATGGAGCTCTAATGGCCTAATGGCAAGGAGCTGCACTGTAATCCTGAAGGCACATGGTTCGAATCCACCAGATGCTCTGCTGGAGAAGGAAGGGCAATCTCCTCCTATACCTGTCAGATCCAACTCAATGGGACAACACTACAACAACAACAACAAATCTGCTTTTCATGATGGCAAAGGAGACAGTTGTTCACGGAAGCAATTAGCCACATATCCCATGTCCTCTTCCTAGTCTGGACTCTTCTTTCCTTGATCCCAGGAGAATGGAGAACATTTTCTGTGGCTTGGATGGCTTTTTCTTAA